CACACACACACACACACACACACACACACACACACACACACACACACACACACTTTACCTGATAAACATATTTTACTCTTATCTTTAGATTTTTCTCCCTCTCATCATATTAATTGATTAATTAATTAATTTTCCTGACTATAAATCATCTGATCACAGGGATCAAACATGTTCTTCACACCTGCAGGAAGTCATTAACATGTTTAACAGGTAAATGAAGGCGTGTCAGGGGCGGAGTCTCAGGTGTCAGGGGTGGAGCCTCAGGTGTCAGCGGAGGAGCCTCAGGTGTCAGGGGAGGAGCCTCAGGTGTCAGCGGAGGAGCCTCAGGTGTCAGCGGAGGAGCCTCAGGTGTCAGCGGAGGAGCCTCAGGTGTCAGCAGAGGAGCCTCAGGTGTCAGCGGAGGAGCCTCAGGTGTCAGGGGAGGAGCCTCAGGTGTCAGGGGAGGAGCCTCAGGTGTCAGGGGAGGAGCCTCAGGTGTCAGGGGAGGAGTGTCAGGGGCGGAGCCTCAGGTGTTCTCAGTGATGTAGAGAAGAAATTTGTGGATTCAGTCGTACAGTTTTCAGGATTTGAGCGTACGCCACGTTTCAGTAAGAAACTGTACCGGAGGGTCCTGGACCACTAACGCAGAGGTTCTCAAACTGGGGTCCCAGGACCCCCAGGGGTCCATGAGAGATATCTTGGGGGTCCTCAAAAAATGTCACTAAATTGTTAATTTGGTTTTGATTTTTAAAATGCACGAACACTGAGCTAATAAAACAAACATAATAAACTTAATAAAAACATATTCTCATGGCATTTAGGAGTTGAAATGACAATAAAAGATCTTTTTAAACAGCAGGGGGTTTATGAGGGGTCCCTGCTCTAACGGACCGGGTCGGTTCTGTTTGTTCACAGAGTCCTGCTGTAAATATCAGCAGCTTGTTAATGAAGGACTTGTTGTTTCACAGGAGAGACGGGTCAGAGACAGAACCGACCCGAAAAGATGGAGTTAAACCTTTCATCATCATCATCATCATCATCATCATCGTCGTCTTCCTCTGTAGTAAAAACTGTTAGAACCTTTCTGTGACCCGGCTCAGTCCGGTTCTGATAAAGTGGGCGTGTTCTGTTTCCTCTTCCTTTCTGAAGCTAAAACAACATTGTTCACTAGTTCCTGTGAGGTCATGGACTCTTCATCCTCCTCCTCCTCCTCCAGCTGTCAGCCAATCAGAGGCCTGAGCTGAGGAGACGCTCCTCAGGTTTAACTGTTGGAGAGCTGAGAGTAACTCTGGGTTTAACTCTGGGTTTAACTCTGGGTTTAATTAATTAAACTCAGAGTTTAACTCTGGATTAAACTCAGAGTTTAACTCTGGATAACTCTCCACAGTTACTCTCAGAATCACAGCAGAACTCTTCACTCGTCTTGTTTCTCAGTGTTGGTTTCCTGACTGAGAAGAATTCACTCAGCTCTAATTTCAGTCGGTTCTGTGATGAACGTTCTCCTCAGCAGAACCGACCCGGTCTCAGCAGAACCGACCCGGTCTCAGCAGAACCGACCCGGACCTTGTGCTGCTGGTGTCAGACTGACGTCACGCTGCAGGAATGTAAACTCTGAAGCTGCCATCAGTTTTCCTTCAGAACCCAACAGAACCAGAGTCTGGACCAGAACATTCAGGTTCTGATCCAGGTTTCCAGGTTCAGACTGTGAGCAGAACTGAGTGGAACCAGAACAGAACCGGTCCGTCTGAGCAGAACTCTCAGAACCAGCAGATCTTATGTAACGGGCTGAATAAAGGAAAGCTTCGGCAGCAGAACTGGGTCCAGAACCCAGCCTCTGGTTCAGCCTGGTTCTGGTTTCATTTGATGCTCCTGCTCGGATCAGAACCACAGGCAGCTTCCTGATCACACAAGAGGACACAGACAGGACCGGGTCAGATCCGGGTCAGCAGACGTCTCTGAGGACCATCTGACCCAGAACAGCTTCCTCACAGAGGAGGTTCTGAGAGACCAGCTGGGACTGGATATACAAKAACAAACCTCTGTGTCAAAGCCCCGCCCACCTCCACTCAAAGCCACGCCCATATCTCACAAAGCCCCGCCCATCTCAAAGCTCCACCTATCTCCCAAAGTCCTGCCCATGTATCTCAAAGTCCCGCCCACCTCTCTCTCAAAGCTCCACCCGTATATAAAAAGCCACGCCCATTTCTCATTTCCATAGATTCTCTTTATCTCCTTAAGCTAGGCTCCGCCTCCCCAGGCCCCGCCTCCTCCGAACCCRCTCCCTACCTTCCCTACAGATGTTCAGAGGTTTCTCTGCAGCTCTGATAAAACCCGTCCTGGTTCTGGACCAGACAGAACCTCCTGCTGTGACCCGGTTTTCCCTCTGAGCTCTGATGGTTCTGTTTATCTAGAAATGGATCTGAGACACCAACAAACCAACAAACCAACAAACAAACAAACAAACAAACAAACAAACAAACAAACAAACAAACAGCCTTTAAAGACAACACCAGCATCTCCTCGTTCTGAAGCTACAGCAGGACAGATGCTGACAGCCGGGGGTCCAGTGGGGTCCAGGTGGGTCCTGGGGGTTCTCAGTCCCAGAACAGGGTCTTTGTTTGTCCCCTCAGAGGGAAAACAGTTCGGCTGGTTGAAACATTTAGCAGCCGAGACGAGCAAACAGCTGAAGGTCTGAGAGGCTTCAGCTGCAGCAGGCCCCATCAGGACTACACCCACCAGGAACAGTTCTGGTTCTGGTTCTGGTTCTGATGGAAACATTAATGCTGAAACAGGACGGTGCGTTCAGGGACCTCTCAGCAGGAGAGTAAACTGGATTACAGGAGACTGATCTGGTTGTTGTAGGACCTGCTGTGGTCCCAGAGTCTGATCTGCTTGTTTGTTTGTTTGTTTGTTTGTTTGTTTGTTTGTTTGTTTGTTTGTGACCTTTTATCACCTCGTCTTGTTTACATATGAAACACTTTCCAGCCTTCAGGGTTTGTTTACGTCAGGCTGAAGTCTGGACCGGGTCTGGACCTGGTCTGGACCGGGTCTAACGAGGACCACAGAGGGACCAGAACAGACCAGGACCTGAACCTTCAGACTCAGACTGGAAACAGGACTTCAGCTCCAACAGAGACTTTGTGAAATGGATCAGGTCCGAGGACCTGGACCAGGACTTACTGTTCCTGCTGGACTTCAGCTTGGACAGCAGCTTCTGGGTGGACTGCAGGTCTCCAGTCTTCACCGCCTGCAGCAGCTCCTGCTCCTTCCCCATCCTCCTCCTGCTCCTGCTCCTCCTCCTGCTCCTGAGCCGCTGCCCTGACAGTCCTCCTCCTCCTCCTCCTCAGAGCTTCATCCTGCCTCAGGTGAGACTCGTCCTCTTCCTCACCGAGGACAAGATGGTTCCTGTGTGAGTGAAGGTCTGATGATGAAGAGGAGGAGGTGATGAAGAGGAGGAGGTGATGAAGAGGAGGAGGTGATGAAGATCTGAGGAGGATGAAGCAGATCAAACTTCATCAGGTCAGATTCATTTAAAAACAAAGTTCCTCCAGTTTCAAACAAAAACCTAAAAAACTTATTTCTGTCGGAGTTCACGTTTCTCTTTCCTCTTCATCAGGCTCCGCCTCAAACAGGCGGCCATTTTCCATCAGAGACAAACTGATGGACGGACATTCAGCTGCTTCTTTGCAGGATAGAGCTTTAAAGAGCCTGAGACATGTTTTTCCTTCAAATCCAATAAGTCAAAGAAAACTTCTTTATACTGAAGAAAGTTGTCATAAAACACATGATTTTACCATTTTGTCTCATTACTGCTTATTTTCTTTAAATTTGGCTCACAGTGAAACAGGAAGTGACATCAAAGGGGAACTCTTTAATAAAATTAACTCTCTGGTTTTTGTTTATTAAAACAATATTATTT